AATTGCAGACATTTCAGGATTAAGTGACATCGTCGCCAATCTTGAGAGTTACATCACTTTGTAAACAAATCCTTATCACTTAGTAAGCCAGACATAAGCGAGAACTCTCGCTAGCGAGTGCGTTACAGGAAAGGGTAAAATTAATAAAAAACTTTTTATTAAAACCCCTTTTTTTCCTTTTGTATTGCACGACGAAGTACGTGGACAGTTCGAATAGCGCGTCGCAGATTAGAGCAATGAAAAAGTACTCCAAAACGAAACTTAACAGTCTTTCGATCAAAAGGTTAGTTATTATCGTTTTCTTACGTTCAAACTCAAACTCATTTATTCAGTCTAGGCTGTTATAAGCTCTTGTGAAAGTCAAATGCTACGCCATCGGTTCGTAAATCTACGGCGGGAGACCTTGTACTGAGAAGAACCGGCAAGAAACTCAGCAAGGGCTATTTTTTTCTCCCTGTTTTGTTTCATACAGTATCGTCAATTGAAAGATGACATTAAAAATTGAATACATGTGTTGATGTCAACTTCCATCACATTAATATTATTAATTAACAAAAGTTAAGTATAGCTAGGTACTAAATTAAGAAGTGGCGATTAAACAATTTTCAACCAAATTAGCAAAGTAAAACGACTTAGTCTTTTATATTAAGCCCAAGGTGACTTATCATTTATGAAATCTTTAACAGCATAGTAACCTTTCTTTAGGAGACATGTTTTTATACACACTTTAAACTTATTAAAAGGTAAATTAATTATTTCTTTTGGTATTTTATTGTAGTAACATATACCATGACCCACAAATGAACCAAGAACCTTTTGGAGTCTCAATGGTGGCAATTTGAGTTTATCTTTATTTCTGGTATTGAAATTATGTACATCATGGCGCCTCGTATATAAATTTATGTTCTGAAGCACAAACAATATACAATTGGAAATGTATTGAGAGGCAACAGTCATTAAACCTATTTCTTTAAATTTATCCCTAAGAGAAGTTCGAGATCCCAAGCGATAAATAGCTCATATAGCTCGTTTTTGTAGAATGATAACTGTTTCAATGTCAGCGGCCGGGCCCCATAATAGAATGCCATACCACATAATGCTGTGAAAGTAGCTGAAGTATATTGTCCTAGCAGTGTCGACATCTGTAAGCCGACTTATTTTATAAATTGCATAAGCAGCAAAACTTAGTTTATCGGCTGGTCTTGTAATGTGAGGGTTCCATTGAAGTTTGTGTTCTAGTGTTACGCCTAAGAAAACGGTTGTATCGACTAAAATTAGTTTTTCACCATTTAGAATTATATCCCCCATTTCAGCATGCTTTACATTCGGCAAAGTAAATTTCACACATTTAGTTTTACTCGCATTCAGTTTAAGATTATTAGAAGAGAACCAGTGAAGTACCTTGGAAAGTGCATTGTTTACATCGTCATAATTTGTTTTACACCTGTCAACATTAAAAATTAACGAGGTGTCATCTGCAAACAAAACAATTTCACAAAAATTTTCTACAAAGAAAGGTAATACATTAATGTAAATTAAAAAAAGAAATGGACCTAAAATGTAACCCTGAGGAACGCCTATTTTCACATGAGATCCGGCTGATTTTGAACCGTTAATATCAACTATTTGTGTCCTTTCTGTTAAATATGATTGCACTTATTTTTGTGCGGAATCTTTTATGCCGTAATGATTTAATTTCCGTAACAAAGTTTGATGATTAACGCAATCAAAGGCTTTAGATTAATCGCAGAAAACCCGAAGAGCATTCTGCGACTTTTCCCAAGCATTAAATATATATTTTAGCATAGTGGCCCCAGCATCAGTTGTGGAACGGTTTTTTAGTGAAACCGTACTGCGCTCTGTGTAAAAGTTTATTAATATTAAAATGAGTAAATAATTGTTCTAACATTACTTTTTCAAAGATTTTACTCAATGCTGGTAATATAGATATTGGCCTAAAGTTGCTAGGATCTTTACAATTTCCAGACTTAAATAAAGGTATGATTTTACTGAATTTCATAAGATCAGGGAATACTCCCTGATCTATACATGAATTAAAAATATCAGCTAGGTAAGGGGCTACAGAATGTATAATATTATTTATGACTTTGACAGATATACCCCATAAACCAGATGCATTTTTCATTTTTAATGAATGGAAAACTTTAAAATATTTTAAAAGAACTAACGTGCTTGAAATTAAATAATAAACCACACAGAGGTACATATTTTTGTAACAGAGCTGCAGCAGTATCAGACGATGAGTCCAAATTGGAAGTAGTTTCTAATGGCATATTCATAAAGAATTTATCGAAAATATCTGCGACTTCATGTTTCGATTTTATTAGATTATTATTGATTTTAAGAACCATGCTACTTTCACGAGGCTTACACTTGCCACTTTCGCGCTTAATGACATCCCAAGTGGTCTTATTTTATTATTCGATTTTTTTATTTTATTCCTAATAAAATTTGACTTTGCAGTATTACATATGCTTATAAACAATTTAGAATATTTTCTAACATAGTTAATTAAATCAGGGTCCTAGTTATATTCTTTGATTCTATATAGCTCATACAGCCTTGTTCTACTCTTAAATATGCCACTTGTCCCCCAGTCACAGAATTGCAACCTCTGTGTACATTTAATGGTTTTCAGTCTGAACGTATTTTGAAATTCATTATTTATTAAATCAACCAGATTTTTGTACAAAATATCCGGATCATCATGCGTTCAAGGCATTAAAGGAAGTTTATCGCTAATGTTATTTTTAAAACTATTTACGCGCTCATTTGTTATAGGTCTACACTCTATAATGCTCGGCTCAGTACTGACATTGAAACTGTATGTTGTCTTTAAATCGATATGATCGGAAGTAATATCACTAAAGACTGACTTTTCAATTGCATCCAACGCAGAAAAAAAGTTGTCTAAACAAGTGGCTGAGTGAGATGTTACTCTGGTTGGTTCAGTAAACTGGAAATTTAAATTAAAACATTTAAACAAGGTAATTAGCCGAAGACTTAAAGAGCTATTTTCAAGTAGATTGACATTAAAATCACCACATACTGCGACTGATTCAAATGTACCAAAGTTTCCTGAGGGGGGCGGTATACACATACTATATACAAATTTACTAACTCTACACACTATTGTTAAACTAGTACACACATCAAAAGTGTCTAGGGATCAAGCATTTTTATGCGGATTTCTTGAGATTGAGATGTGGCTTTGTAATAAATTTATGATTTTATAAATTTATATGGATCCTTTTTGGTGCATTTCATAATTTGAATCAGGAACTGTGAATCAAATTCGAGTAAAAGATGAAAATCAGCTGTCAATATTTTCCCTATAAAAACATACAACGCATTGAAGACATTATTAGTGCTACTGTTTCCCTACTACTGATTAAAACCAACGTTATTATGGAGCGGCGACGTCATTTAAGCAGGGAAGAAATGCTCAGAGCCGTGGGAATGATAGAAGCTGGTTCCCGGCAACGTACTGTGGCTTTAGCTCTGAATACAAGTCAGAGTGTTATCAGTCGACTTTGGACACAATACCGAAGCACTGGTACCGTATGGAGGACGGTATCGCTGCACCACACGGAGACAAGACCGATACATTCAAATCTTAACTCGAAGAGCTCCAACAATAACCGCCATGATGTTAGCCGTGAGGCTTCATCACTCTTCAGGGAACTTAATTAGCGACCAAACAGTCAGAAACCGCTTGCATGAAGTGAACCTTCATTCCCGAAGACCGCTACGGGTACCACCTATAGCAATGCACAATCGTAGGATTCGATATCAATGGGCTCTTGAACACAGAAATTGGGCAGAAGAACAATGGCGTTTCGTGTGCTTTTCTGATGAGTCTCGTTTTGGTATGAGACCGGATACAAGACGTATACGACACTGGAGAACCCCTGGACGCCAACAGCGATTAAAATCCTGCCAGGAAGTCCATCCTTATAGTGGTGGAACCATCATGGTATGGGCGGGTATTTGGATCGGCGGAAGAACTGAGTTGATTTGGATCAGAGGCAACCTCAACGCTCAAATTCATGCTGAGACGATTGTATCAGACGTCATCGTTCCTCTACAAGTGCAAATCGGTCCCTTATTTCAGTTAATGCATGATAATGCACGACCGCACACCGCAAGAGTTGTAAGACAGACTCTCGCCGCAGCTAACATCAATGTCCTGCCCTGGCCTGCTCAGTCGCCAGACTTGAACCCGATTGAGCATGCATGGGATATGCTACAGAGAAGAGCTCTGCCGAATATGGAGGGTATCCAGTCGCAAGAAGACCTTTTTTTGTTGTTGCAACGAACATGGGCGGCCATTCCACAGCGTGATTTGGATGAACTCATTTTGAGTATGCCAAACCGATGTTCTTGTGTTGTTAGTGTTCGCGGTAGAAATACGGATTATTAATTGTTTAAGTTACCCAATAAAATTTTAGAGAAAACTGTTATTTCAGTCTTTTTTTCGAACTTTTGTGTTAGTGGTTCAAATGTCAAAAATCCCTTTATTAGGAAAATGGCAAATTTCTTTATTAATGCAAAGGTGACTTGGTTTATCGTTACTGTGACAAACGAAAACACTTTATTTGATGAATCCTTAAAGAAAATTTTAATTAATATCAATCAGGAGAAAAGTTATTGCAAAAATATATGTTGATCCCTAGACACTTTTGATGTGTGTAGTTACGGTATTTATAAATATAAATAACTTCCTCATTTAGTTGTGAAAAGTGACAATAAATTAAATTTTGCGCGCGGACACAGACACCGATTTATTCATTGATTATAAACAAATAAAAAAATATAGGCATAACTGAAAACAAAACAAGACATATCTTTCCGCTATACTATAGTTCCATCATTAGACGGTGACGTAAGAGTTTCGAGTTTTGTTAGCGGATGAAACTTATAGTAAAACATTAAGTTAATGGGAAAAACTTGCAAATGTGACACTTAGTTTTGTGTAGATGAGTCCGGGTAAGCGGGTGCCACAAGACACCGATTCGAGGCCCATCGTGATCGTCACAGACATGGACACGGTGCACGAAGAGAACGACAACGACAATGACAGGTATGTTTTTTTTAAACTATTTAATTAGTTAATCAACAACTGAGTTATTAACTATCATGGAAGAACAACTAATTGAATTGAAACGAAGCTACAATTTTGTAAGTTAGGTTAAAAGAATAGTTTTAAGTTTTACTTTTTTAAAACTAACCTAACAGTGATCATGTACTGGGCGAAACACGAAATTTTTAATTTTTCTGTCAAGCGGTCATAATGTGTAATGTGTATTTTATTACTTTAAATTTATTTTTGTAATTTGAAATTTTTGCAGTTTAATTTACTGGGATTTTTAGTGTATTATGTATCAGAACATAAATTTAAGTGATTTAAGTGTAATCATCACATCAGCCTCTTAAAGTTCGCATTGCTGGGAGACAGGCCATTCCAATGGGTGGAATAAGGAGACTGGGCCGTAACTTGGGTTACCAACCTTTTTTTCTATTAAATATAGTATTTTCGAATCTGTTACCTCTTAAAATATGGTAGAAGGCATAAAAAGGGAAAAAATATAGTATGCGTTTAAAATATTTACTTTATTTTTAAAATGAATATATTTTTGCTGATTTATACCGTAATAATTCAATTTTATATTTTTATGAAAGCTTTTATTGGCAATCTGTTTTAAGTAAAATATAGTAGGTTTGCCTACTATATATTTTTTTAAGAAATTATTTGATCACCTAATATAGTAGGATATTATATTATATAGTAGGGTTCATTCCTAGCCATTACTCACCACGCAGGTACAGTGTGGATGGTGGTAGCTAACGACTGCAGAAGCAGCCTGCACTTACGGGTAAACGTGCCTTCCGAAGTACAAAGGATCTCGAGATAGTAAATTTCAGCTTCCAATCCAAAAACCGGTCATTACAAAATTTGCTTTACTTCCAAGATCGCACCCGAACGGCACTTGCGCCATCAATCTCCGCTTATATAAAACTTCTTAAAAAAACAAAAACTTATATAAAACTTCGACTTGCTACTCGGTCAAGATAGGCATCTCGGTGCGAGTGATAGTTTTGGTACGTACAATAAATCCAATATACTATTCATTGGTTTTATTGTAAAATACTTTGATTGCTAATTTAGCGAATCATGTTTGAGCATCATGTTTATTGCAACATCTATGTATTATACTATGTTTTTTGTAAATAAATAGGCTATGGTAGCCGCTTAGCATCAGGCCGGTCAGAAAATGTACTATTTAAAGTATCAATAAAAAATAGCTGATTATCTGGATTGAGTAGATCGGTAAAAAAAGTTATCTTTATTTCGCTATATAAAATGTATTTTCGAGTAAGTATATCTAAAGAAAGTATGCTTTGTTGTTTTGATTGGCTTATCTAAATATATCTTACACGTGACATTTCGTTGCCGTAAAATAACTTTAACAAATGACGATAAGGACTTTTTCTTCGATCTTACTCCATTTTTTGTGCTTGCTAAAACTAGCTTGCGACCGCGACTTCGTTCGTGTTAAAGTTAGTTTCTAAGGAATCCCACAGGAGCCTACGTAACATTTTTCTGCGATAGAAAGTAAAGTACAGATGGGAATCTGCCAATCTAGGTGATAATCTATTATATATGCCAAGTTAAATCGATATCCGTTCATCCATTTTAACGTTAAAGATTTTCTTATAATATAAGTAGGTTACCTTTTTATTCCACGCGTTAATCGAACGTATGGAAATGTATTCCGTTTGCATTATTTAAAAGCATAGGAAATGAATAACGTCGTTTCGCAGACGGGGCGGGCTGGAGGCTTGTCGTAAACAATGCCCACCACTCTAGATATTTACAGTTTCATTAAAGTTTCTTTTGAATTCTTTCGCATTGTGTTCGTTCTTCACTTTTATCTATTATCTTAATACGGAATCGTTACTATGATTTTTAGTACCTACGCTTCTTTCTGGTGTTCTTTCTCATTTCTACGCTTCTACGTGCTTTTACATTCTATTTGATACGGCTTATGAAAACAATTGATAGTTTTGAATATAAGTTTCAAAACCTCTGCATTGTATTTAATATAATTAAGTATTATTAAGACCACAGTACAATAACACTTTTGGTTATGTTGTGTTCATCTCAGTGAAGTGTCAGTAGAACAAGTTTTATTTTTATTTCTTAAGCATTTAACTGCTAGATGTTTACAAGGCAGCAGGCGTGATCCGTTTAAGGATTATTTCTAATTAAATTTTCTTTACCTATAAATGCAAAGAAAATTAATACCTATTAGAAAAAATACAAATCGCTTAAGGTCAAGCAGGACCAGTTGTCTTAGTTGATTTTTTTTAGTACAAATATTCTTTAGATTAATATAACGGGTTGGGTTGTCCGGAAGAAATAGCTCATTAGCGATAAGACCGCCCTTTGTGCAATGTTGTATTTTTGTACTTGTTTTGTTACTGTGTTGTGCAAAAAAGAGTTTTTTTTCTTTTTATCTTAACGGGGATATAATTATAAGATTTAAAACATCATAAAGGTAGGCTATAAAACACTACTGATATTATAAAACTTAAAAGTTTGTATGTTTACTCGTTGTTATTCCATGAACGAATTTAGATAGTTTGGTAAACTGATAGCTTTTAGCATTTCGATTTTTTTCTAGTAAAAAAAATACATTGCTTTGTGTAATTAGGTAAAAAAAGACTATACGTATTCGCATTAAATGGTCCGTTTGCTCAATGGATAGATTTTCCAGCATTTCGATCCCTTAAATATGATCTTCAGGTAGTTTTCCTAGATATATTTTTTGTATGAGATAAACCACGATACATAACAATATGTACATTGATTTCGAAAAGCTGTGAATTCTATTTGAAAATACATTACCTACTCAAGGCATTTTGAAATTTGTTAATGGAGTTATTATATAACAGAACACATCATCATCATCAGCCTATTAATGTCCCCACTTCTGGGGCACAGGTCTTCCATATGGATGGAATAGGGAGATTGGGCCATGAACCCACCACGCGGGCCCAGTGCGGATTGGCGGGTGCTAACGACTGCAGATGCAACTGGGACCAACGGCTTAACGTGCCTTCCGAAGCACGGAGGAACTCGACATAAAAGATTTTTTGTCACCCATCCTAACCTAACCTAACCTAACCTTACCGAACACTTCGTAAGTTGCTTAACTTCAACGATCGCAGCCGAACGCGCTAACCACCTGAGCATATTTAATTTTATATTTAATGATGAAAAAAATGTTCACATAACAAAACGTGGAAGCAACTAACATTGATATGTGTGAATAAACAAAAGTGCAGTAGTATGACTTGACTGAATGTTACCACCTAAAATGTTTAAGGAAGGGGAATATTGTCATATCTTGATATTCATAACCGCAGCGTGGGATAAACAGAAGCTTACGTATACATTTCTCGGCAACAGATGCACATTTTGGAGATTTTTCCGTGAAAGCCATGTAGTCCAAATAGTTCAATACCGGTGCAGTGCAGACGTTCGTTTATATCTCACATATACAGTAAGATTGTTTTCCACAAAAATACCCAGGAACTATATTAAATAACTACATAACATTAATAAATATTGGACACGTTCACGACAACCGCCTAGCCCCAAACTACGAATAGCTTGGACTATAGGCACTAGGTAACCTATACCATACTAGTAGCCCGCGACTTCGTCCGCGTTAACTTTAGTCTTTTGAGATTCCCATAGGAACCTATAATTTTTCCGGGATAAATAGTATCCTATGTATATATAGTATCCTAATAGTAACTCCCGTTCGCCTAGCCCGAACACACTTTTCGTAACGCGTAACGCATTCGCCAGCTTACCCCACAAGTCAAGCGTGCGTAAAGAAGTTTCACTTCAATACACGTGTTGATAATAAAAACACGGTAACTGTTGTATTACGAACACGTGTATTTTCCGGGATTCGCAACCGGGATTCATCCTCCGGGATTCGAAACCGGGGCTACTGGATTCACAGTTAGGATAGGTAACTAACCCAGGGCCATATTATAACTAAGTAGTTTAATTGCTGTAGAGCTAATAATATTTTAGTACATTTCCTATATCACTTACAAAAATTTTGAGCATACGTAATCAATAATATAAGCATAAATTTACGTGTAATATAATTTACTACAAACTATTACGTGCTATCACTATGCCAATTAGGTAGGGAGTATAAAATGTTCGGTAATTATTACTTTTAAATTTAAAAAAAAACTAAGTGGACAGGTTTCAAGTCATTTAAGTATGTTACGTTTATAATTAGAAGTCGTGGTAGATTTTGATTTCTTTTGGGATTTTTATTGGAAAAATAATAATATTTTTTATAATATGCGATAAACTGCCTTAGTTGATGTTTTATTCAAAGAAAGAAAAAATAAAAAAAACATTAACAAAATTTTTATCCAAGTGAACATTTTCTTTATCGTAACAAGGTAATATTAAGACAATGTAAATCAGAGAAAAATAATAATTAAATTCTCATTTCCATTAATTGTTGAGGAATTTCTGAATAATAATACAAATCATTACCCAAAATTCCGAAAGCTTTGCAAAAAAGCTGTAAAAAAAAGTTATCTCCTTTTTTTATTAGAATTTGTTGGGACATACTGTAGGTATGGACTGTAGACTTCAAAAGCATACACAAAGAGGGATTTCGGTACAGTGCTTCGAAAATATTTATGACGTTTGATAGACTGCTTTGTGTCGCGATACACCCACCGTTGGATTTATTCAGATCGACGCAAAATATATTACTTTTAGTCATTTTAAAAATAGGTTCGAACACATGTTTGAGATAGTAGACTCCACTTTAAAGACCACAATTACAAAAATAAATAACTTAGAACTTCAGAGGATAGAGAATAGGATAGGTGAGGCAACGCATGAACGCTCTTTACATTACTATACATAGATATAGCGTTTAGCAATCGCGATAGGTTAAGCTAACTTTTTCACATAAAAACTGAAGTGGAATCAAAATAAAACTTCAAAGTCTAGCAAAAGTATGTCATTCGGAGCGAGATTCTCTTGATCTAAAACAGCATAGAGCCAAACGTCAAGTGTGATCACGAAAGGTAATGAATAGTAGTAATAAATAGTATTACACCCCGGCAAACTTCTGGAGCATCGACTATTGGAGAAGGAAGCCTGTGCAGTAGCAATTTTACATACAAAAACGTCTACTGCGCAAGTTTATTTGTCTGTGGTTTTTCTCAAAAGGGTTGCCGCTACCTATACTATTGATTATTATTATTATGTTATATTATTTATATGTAATACTAGTGGCCCGCCCTCGCTTCGCTTCGGTGTAGAGCTGTAGTGTAGGCAGACTATAGTTTTTGTTCTCAGGCTTGTATTACAATGGATTTCTTTATATAATTATTTTTCTCACCTTTTAAACCTTGCCTAGACCTCCACGAACATTTCAAGACAAATCCATTCAGCCGTTCTCGAGTTTTAGCGAGACTAAGGAACAGCAAATGATTTTTATATATATAAGAATATAAATCGCAAAGTAACTATAAGTAGGTGTCTGTTACTTACGTTTACACACCTAAAGTGCTGAACTGCTTCACATTAATTTTGTCCCTTCGTAATACCAGTAGATAAACAAAATGAGCCCTTATATGGCACGAAATCGTGTACTTTTGATTACTCCTTGAGTAATCAAAAGTGTACCATTATTCCCATGCTTTGATTAGTATGGTGTATGTGTTAGATAGGAAAAAAAAAATTAGCAGTGTTCTCTTCAACAGACCCTGCGACTTTCTACAGTATCATAGAAAAACACCGCCGACGCGGCCAGGCTTTCCCCTCTTTCGAATTAGGTATACAAACGAATCATGCAGGATTTGGCGATATATTATGTCAATTGTTTATGTGTGAGTGTCGTAATTACGGATTTGTTTTTACGCGTTTGTGTATGAAATGGCAGAATGATTTGAATAATATTGATGTCGATTCTGGTATTATTCTCTTAACCTAAACTTAAATTTGACAACTTTTTATCCCTAGCTATGTCTATGTTATGGACTAAGTGATTAACCGGGCATTATTCATAATTCCCGAGCAATATAAATAATACCCAATAAGAGCGGGCTATGATAAACAATCAATTTATCACATTGCCCGGGCATTATGAATAATGCCCAGTACCTATTGGGCAGAGTGATGTAAAGCATGTTTAATACTTTCAAATGAATACTTAGTTAGAAAGACCGAGCATTACAAGTAATGAAATCAATTATCGGGTAGAGTATTAATAAAAACATGTTTTATAGTTTAGTATTTATTTATAAATTTAAATAATCAGACTTCGGTTCTATTTCGATCAATTTACGAAGGGCTATATTTAGAAACTATAGTTTATAGTAGTTTCAATGCAGTTTGTTTGAAAAATTCATTAAATGTGTTAAATGTTCAGAATTTTTGGCTACCTATTTTTTGGAATGCAAGGAATAGGCAAGTAAGAACCATTACTTCTGCCTTATCTCCGGCGCTGCGGGAATAGCAGCCCCTCCGTCTTTACGTGACAAAGTCACAAGCATCACTCCCCTTCACACCTTCGGCTTGTTGGTCGCCGCCGGAGGTGGCGATTCAAGTCTCAGGCGCTACGGGTCCCACGATGCTTACGGCTTTGTCACAGCAGGCGAGGGCTGCTCTCCCTCCGAGCCTCCGGCCTCTAAAAATACTCTAGAGGTAGGGCAGACCAAGACCACGGCGTGTCGGGATTGACTAAGTCGGTTCTGAATTAAAGACTGTTGTAAAGCCACATTTACCTTTTTTTCTAAGTGTTGAGCCCATCCAATTTTTATTTACCAAGATCTCAAAACAAACACAAGAGGCGAGACATCTGTCATTTTGACAATAGTACCAACGTTTTGAATTTATTCATACTGCCCGATCCAAGCGATAAATTCAAACTTTCTAAACACTGACTTATTACATGGACCACGAGCCTCCGGCATTATTAATAATGGTAGGGCAATGTGATAAATAGGTGAGTTTAGATTGTAATTAATCACTTGGCCCGATATGGCTGGGCATTATTCATACTGCCCTGGTATTATGAATACTGCCCGCATTAATCACTTGGCCCATAACATCTATATAGAATGAAAAGGAGAGACTAATGTTAAATTCTGTTTTAAGTTTAGAGAATCATCCCAGAATCTACACCATTGTGTCGATATGGCTACTTCCGTGCTGCTCTATGTAAGATGATGGATGACCTCGATGCGCTGCTGCGCGCATTTAGCGAACACTGCTCGAACTCCTATGCCAGGGCTGTAACATGCTTATATTTCAACATAAATCGAAACACGATTGATTAACGATCGTTCCATATTCTTTAGACTTGGGCGATCTTCTATTTGATAAAACACTTAACGTTAACTCTTAAAGTTTGAAATAAGCAATAAACTATATATTTCAATTAGCTTGTTTGTCATATACAATTATTGGTAATTGCAGATAGCATTAGCCAAGACAATCAAGTAGTTATAAAGTTTATTCCTTAATTTTAAACATACTTTCAAGTAGTTCGCGTAATCTTCAATCTTACAGGAAAACCAACAAGATATCCCAGTTTTAGTCAATCTTCCTACATTCCTCGATTTCAACGACTTTCTACTTAGGTTATCATTTTATGATATCCAACATGTTTATTATAGTCCCTGTATTTTCTAATATAATTTAGTAAACATACATATAAAAGGTTAAATTTAAAATACCGGTAATCTCGCAGGACTAGATAGCTAACATCACACACAACAGCGTTTGTTCTTCGAGTTTTAACAGAACATAATACTTTGATCAATAAAATAATCTTAGTTTTTGATATACTGTCGTGACATTTATTCCTTGTGTGCAAATTTTTCGTAATCTTAATAACGCCTGCATTAATTTAAAAACGTAAACTGAATATACTATTTATACGTTTATGATTCCTTCATAACCGAAAATAAAAAAATCTTGTTTCTTCATCAGATACTTACATAGTAAAATGCTCGCATAGTTTGTGTGCACTAGGTACACTGAATCAACAACCCCTTCATACTTTACTAAACATAAAAACGTTTTTTTTTAACGAACACTTAAGTACTTTAACCGTCAAAATATGTGAAATCGATTAACGTAATTATTTCTAATAGTTTTCTGTCCAATATTGGTACTTATCTTGGAAACTTTTATTTAGTTTTCGTTATTAAATTAAGCAAAATTAAGATGACGAAAAATCTGCACACAAGGAAGTGTGACTCACGCGCATCAATGGCGCCGGCCGACTGGCAGGGTGGCGGGCGGGGCCGTAGTAGATAAATAGGGCAATCAAATTCAAAAGGTGCAAGCGCCGCGCCCGCGAACCCTCTTCGTCCCCGATTCTCATAAAATATATTCTGTAGAGTAACATTAGAGCGGTAAATTTATTTAATCTTAATTATTGTATGAAAATAAAATTTATGGAATTTTCAAAACTCGTAGAACGAACGTTGTTGTTTATGATGATAGCTATTTAGTAATGCGAGGTTACCGATATTTTAAAACAAACCCTGTATAACAAGGTATAGCTACATCTTTCGATATCTCGCTAAACAAATAGGTTACTCTTCTAATTAGGTGTTCGTTTTTCTTTTGTTTCATCAGCGACGAATCTTCATACTCGGACGTCGTCCGGCTTCGAGAGCGCACTCGCGCGATGCTGGACACGGCTACTGCGGAGCAGGCGCATATACACTCACAGTCGCAGCCGAACAGCCGCCGCATGTCCAACGACATCGATGCTAAGCTTGCCGCCAATCTTAATACAAGGTAAACGCAACAAAACACTGTTACATTTCATTCGAACAAATGTTACCAGCTGCTACAGAGCAGGCGCATATACATTCGCAGTCGCAGCTGAACAACCGCCGCATATCCAACAACATCGATGCTAAGCTCGCCGCCAATCTGAACGCAAGGTGAACGCAGCAAAACGCTGTTAGATTTTTTCGAACAAATGTTAAAAGCTGCTGCAGAGCAGGCGCATATACATTCGCATTCACATTCACAGCTGAACAGCATCAAATATTCCATGATATCGATTCTAAACTCCCCGCCAATCTAAAGACTCGGTCAACGCAACAAAACACTGTTACATTTTATTCAAACAAACGTTAACTGCTGCTGAAGAGCTGGCGCACATACATTCGTAGTCACAGCTGAACAGCCGCCACAAGTCCAACGACATCGATGCGAAGCTCGCCGCCAATCTGAACACAAAGTGAAAACTACAAAACACTGTAACATTGTTTTGACTTCAAAAATGTGTCTCGCAAAAACATCTCAAAAAGTACTAATTTCATTATGCCAATCTCTACTATATACTATCTAATGACTTCTTGCCAACTATCATTTTATTATATATATAAAAAATATATTATATATTTAATAAAAAAAAAACTTTTAAAACCAACTTGAAAGGGCATTGAAAATGAAACTACCTCTTTTATAGCCTCTTTTTACAAAAAATAGCGCTGCGGGTTTACCGGGTCCCGCAGTGGGAATTTGTTACCGAGGCGTATGAAGGAGTTTCTGCTGGCATCCTACGCCTTAGAGGTGGAGGATCCAGCGATATGGAAGAGGAGGAGGCTATGCCATCACGCATAGTGAACCAAGAGGAGCGAAGCAAGGACGGGCCTGAACCTTTGCCAGACGCATCAGAAGACGAGAGAACGGTGACGATCACCCGGCGTGAATGCAAAGAAGGAGGAGACAATACTGGAGATCATAAGGGAGACCTACGCTCTCCGCAATGAACTCGACGATAAGGCGGACGAGCTCCTAAAAAACAACCAAAAGAGGAGGTAGGAGGAGAGAAAGAAGTCTGACCGACTAGCAAAGGAGAATGAGGGCCTAAGTGTGCCGGTCGAGGCCCTCAAAAAGGACGTGGAGATTTTGAAGAAGGCGCACCGGGCGCAACAGCCAGTGCTGACGACGGAGGCCACAGAGGAGCTGAAACGCTCCCTTATGATCAGCATAGGGGAGATGGTCAGTGGCTGGCCCTGCGCAGAAGGAGGAGAGCATCACGCGGAGCAAAACTGCCCCGAAAGAGAGGAGGGAGATGGAAAGGGCCCCGCGGATTAAGGTCCTCAATACAACTGCGGTGGAGATGAAGGTGAAGCCCAGGGGGGAGGTGCTGGGCTACACCTTCACAAACCTGGTGGAGATGGCGCGGGCGGCGATAGACTTGCCGTCCGTGGGAATTGAGGATGGTCTCAAGATCAAGACCAGTCCAACTGGCTCCAGGCTCCTGCTGGTGTCGGGGCCTGGAAACAGGGAGAGAGCGGACGCCCTGGCCAAGCGCATGGAGGCGGCCATGGGAGAGTATGCGGAGATCGTCAGACCCGAGAGATACGCGGACCTGAAGGTGTCGGGACTCGACGAGTCGGTAACATCGGAGGAAGTGAGGGAGGCGATAGCCAAAAAAGGGGGATGCGCGGACCGCGAGATCACCGCGGGGGAATTGCACCCAGGACCGGGAGGGATGAGGGGGACGCTGGTCCGGTGCCCTGCATGGGCTGCAAAGAAGGTGGCAGAGGGGAAGCTCAGAGTAGGGTGGAACCTCGCAAAGGTGACGGTCCTCAGCCGGCGAGTGCATTGCTTCAAATGCATGGGGAAGGGGCACGCGGCTGCGCGATGCCCGGCAAAAGTGGACCGGAGCACCTTGTGCTTCCGGTGTGGGAAAGAGGGGCACAGGGCGGCAGTGTGTACTGCCACCCCCCGATGCGCGGTCTACGCGGGGAGCGGCCGGCCGTCCGGCCATGTAATGGGAAGTAGGAGGTGCGACCCTCCTGTCATATGAGGCAAAAAAGCCCCAGACAAAGTAGTCGCTGAGTCGTCGGCGCCGGGTCAGGCGCCCTCAGAGGGCGAGATGTCCAAGTAGTCCAGGCTGCTCGGACTCCGTACCGACTTCTGCCGCCCGCGGCTTCCACCTCTTCTCCGAGGACAAGAGTCGGGAAGCCGCGGGTGGCCGGGAGGGGGGGCGACTGCCCCTACAACGACGGCGAGGGAAGAGGGACGGGGAGAACTACGCTCCCCCTCTAGCTCCCCCGGGAGCCAGTGGCTAGGCGTGGGGGGCGTTGAGACACATTGCACGGTTCCTGAGACGTGTGGTGCCAGATACTCCGGGGAACCGCACGCCGGGGGGGTCCGGCAATCACTGGCGGGGCCGCAGTGCGTTGCGAATCCCGTAGCTAACCCGCACTCCTGGCACGCAATGGGGGGACTCAGGTCCTCGGATTGCATGTCAGGTGATCAGTGCAGGAGTATTGCCTGGTTTTTAGTGGCCCTTTAAGGGCGTAGGTAGGGCCTTGTTCACTTCGGCGAGTCCTAGGGCTGTTTGAAGTGGACGGGGAGGAGTCCCACATACCTTCTTCTCGCTCCCCCAGTGGTTGAAGGATGCTTAAAGCATTTTCCAGACACAAAAAAAAAGGGAAGCGTTGGGGCCTTGCACCAAAACTGTTGCTATGGTTATATTACACAGTCATACGACCAATGGTAAGTTATGGCGCCATCATACGGTGGCCGAGATCTATCCAGACTACCTGTGTCAACCAACTACAAAGCTTTCAGCGGCAGATATGCAGCGCGGTGACCGGGTGCATGAGTACGGCGCCAACCGCAGCACTGGAAGTTATTTTAAACATCACACCGCTCCATATCTACATAAGACAGGAAGCGGATAAAACAGCGTTGAGACTACAAAAGTTTGGACTGGTAAGGTTCGAAAGAGCAAGGCATCTTAACGGTATACTGAAGGAATGGGTAAACACTCCGCTCATAGATGCGGCATGTGACAAAATAATACCCGCCTTCATATTTGACAAAAAGTACAGAATACATCTACTGGATGACAACGATCCAAAGGTAACACACAAGGCTCTCATGATCGACATACACCGACGGCTCTAAAACCTCATTGGGCACGGGCGCGGGTGTTTTCTCTGAGGACCTTAATATACACATCGCTTTCCCCTTAAGGCCGTACAACACAGTTTTCCAAGCTGAGTGTATGGGCAGCACACTGGCGGCAAGAGCGATCCTCTCAAGAAAGGTAACACGACAGCAAATACGAATACTGTCTGACAGCAAATCAGTCCTACAAGCTCTAGATGCCTGTTTAGTCAGATCGAGCTTACTACAAGAATGCCACCAAACCTTAAACACGGTAGGGACGAGAAACTCTATTACCATCCAATGGATCAAGGGACACAGTGGATCACGCGGAAACGACGCTGCGGATGAGCTGGCCCGGAATGGATCCGATACGACCCCAACAGACCCCGAACCAATCGTCCCGATACCGGTAAGCTGTCTCGTCAATAAAATTCGCGAGCACATTGCTGCACTACACCAACAACACAGGCTCGAACTGGAGACGTGCAGGCAGACCAAGCTCGCTTTGCCACGGGTGAACGCTGCCTTCTCCAAAACTCTCCTACAGCTAAGCAAACCTACATTGCGCATGGTAACAGGTACTATTACTGGACATGCACATTTTCACAGACATCTTTTCAACATAGGTGTCACGGACAGTCCCCTATGCAGAGGATGCATGGAGGCAGAAGAAACAGCTACTCACGTTCTGCTGGAATGCAACAGAGTGGCCGAATACCGGGCGAAATACCTCGGCTCACCGGGAAACCTTCAAGAGGCAGTCACCAAAGTGAAGGCCCTGGGGGCCTACCTGGCGGAGCTGGGCTGGCTGGAGTGATTCCGGCCATACACCCTCCTCACGCAAAACAGGCGCCATAAGGATGTCGAGTTGCGGAAACGCTCGTAGCAACAAGAAGAACAAGAAGTCGCTATGGCTACTCCTTTCCGTATTACTCTATGAAACAAACGTTTAACCAAACAGAGTTTGATTTGAATATCTTCAATATCATAAGGTCTGTTAGTATACCGGCTTCCGGCAATATTTGCTATGTCCCCGTTCTGTTACCTACTTAAAATGTCTAACTACGTATCAAAAATATTTCATGCTGGAGGACGAGCGAAAAAAGCCAATGCCAGCAAATTTTATCGGATTTATGTAAGAGTAATCTACATAATAAACGTAATTTTTAAGTAATTAAGAACAAATAAATGCCTACAAAACATAGCACTCAAAAATATTCAATAATAGCAAGCACGCTACTAAATACAATCAACATAAGGATGGTTGACCAGATGGAGAGTGAAGCTGTTTATATTTTTAATAATTCATGAGATATTAACAAAAATATGTTGAGTGCCACTATAAGAAAAATAATTACTTTAATCACTTTATTCAATCATTTCTTCCTTTTTAAGCTTTTATTCACAAGAATGGCGTTTAAAAATGTGGTTGGACCAATTACATTTTGGTACCGTGCCCATCACAAAACTAATTTTACGGTCATCCGAATTGTGTTAGCATTTGGTAAACATAATTATAAGAACGTTGTTCGTGTGATGAACTGATGACGACCCATACACACAAAATATGACACTCTTGCTTGCCTCTCTCAATAACTGCAAGTTAAAGAGATATTCGTTAACAAATCCCACCTTCACGGTATTAATTAAAAATTAAGAATACAGTCACTTCATAGAATGGTGATATTAACCAACAATTTATGTTAAGATAAGATCATAAGAAGAACGTAGGTAGCCACGCCATTGTTAGTACCGGAGTCCATATAACAAGCAGAAATCAGTGTCGCCTAAAAGTTTGTCGAAATTATAAAGGATGCATAAATACAACAAAAAAGTTAAGGCAGGCTTGGAGGGGATAGGGATTTTGCTGCGCGACCGAACTGAAAAAAATGTGATAGTAAAACCGTAAGAAAAAATCCGTAGAAAAAAGTGCGTGGAATAAAACCGTTAAATGAGACGTGCGCAGGCGCGACAGACAAGAATAAAGACTTACTATCAGTAAGTAACTCATTATTCACCATAAAAAATAAAACTATAACATCATTTTAGTTCAAAAATTCACAGAACATGCGCTCTTCACGACTTAAAAGGGCATTGAAAATGAATCTACCAAATCATATTTATTAATTAGGTAAATATGTACATTTAAATAACAAAAACTTAAAAACTACTTGATGACCTAAATTTACAATCCAAATTACCTTAACCTTCTTTACTACTTCATATATAAAATTTACAAAACAAAAATATTTCACCCCCAGCGCCGCTGTCAGGAATGGTGCCCAAAAGGCTGGCAGCATTGCCACGTTGGATAGCAAGGCGGATCCGTTGAACAAGATAACTGCCAGCCTTTTGATCATCAGTCACCGTACTAAGCCTCTTTGACAGTACCTTAAAAAGGGAACGAGCGCTTGGACCCCATGGGCCCATAGTCTCAACACCAAACTATGTAGTTCTCATTGAAAGCTGGATATTTGCGCAGCTTGGAGCACTCGGCAGAGGCTGCCGCCGCTCCTGCAGCTAGGTATGTCCTACCTGTATGGCACGGAGCAAGCGCATCCACGCAAGTTGCGTCCCATACAAGAGCACGACCCTGCTTCCAAGGAATGAGCGTCATACCTTCAGGTCTCTTGCCATCGTCGCGGAAAATGCCGTTAAGCTCAAGGGCCACTGACTGGTACATTGACAGCGACAAGAGTTCTACGGATGACGTCATTGAAGCAGGCGGGTGGGAGACACGGCCAGCGCTCATTTGGCATGAGAGGCCATGGTGTCCCAACTCACCGACGCGAGTACCGCAACGACAGCGATGGGGATGATTTGTCTTGACGCCAAATCTAAGCGATATCGAGAAAGAATCCTCTTGTCAAACAAAGTCCCGATATAAGCTGAAGGTAGAGCTTGCAGCCAGTAACCAGACTCTGCCTGAAAGACGGCAAGAAGGCAAGCACGCTCAGTGGTGCTTCCAGACGATGCTAAACGATCACTCTGTAGACGCAAACAGAGCGACTAGTCCCATTGCCTCTGTGAGCATATGGAGGATGGTGGATCTACTAGATTATTCAAAAAAAAACATAAAATCTTAAAATTGATTTACAAAACCAAAAAAAATGTTTTTTTCACAACCAACTTTTCCTAAATATTTTTATATCATCTTAAAGTCCCTCGAATTCCGTGTCTTTTGAGCTGTCATACGAGTACGTCCTCGAAGTCGCACGCGAGCCGTCCGCCGCGTGCTATCGCACCGCGCCCCACGCAAAACTCGCGGCAAACCTACAACCTACAGCCTCAACTGTTCTTTGGTTCAATAAAAAGGTGCCTTTTTTTCATATCTTTGAAATTCGGCCCCGTTCTTGAGATATCGAAAATTTTCTGTGAAAACACACCATTTTATGGTCGAAAAAAGTCGTTTTTTTTCGATGGGAAAAAAAAGTTTTTGACATTTCCCAAATATTTTTTACATCTTCTTAAATCCCTTGAAATTCCGCGGCTTTTGAGCCCAATACGTCCTCGTGGCCCTAAACCTCGGGGTATCACAGGCGAGTCGCACTTTCAGCGAAAATGGGGGACTACTATTGGAGCAAACGGAAAAACATTTTCAATGTTAAAAAAATACGAGAAAAGATGGAACTCTTGACATTTTCAAAGTGATGTCAGTGTCTTATTACAAAATTCTCCAAAAAAAGGAAGTATGGCATAATCAAAAGTAAATATGGAAATCCAAAAATCAAGAAAGAGCTTCGATTAAAAAAAAACTTATAACGAACAAGTGAAGTCTGCAATTTGTACCTGTTTTCAGGGGCTTGACAAAATGACATTTATTGCGAAGGTATAAATAAGTAATTTGAAAGATCTGAAAAGTGTATAAAGCTAAAAAGAAAATATTTTGAAAAGGATAAATAATTTCATGTTTAATTTCTGCCATCTCCACCTTTATCTCGAGAATTGTGCGACGGGAAAAACATACGGTTCTATCCTAGTGCGTACATTTCTGATAAAAATATCTAGGCTAGGAGGTGGGTGGGTGGGTGGGTATCTAGGCAGTTGAGCCACACACGGACTACATTGTGCAAACTGTAGGCTAACATAGTCACCCAGTGGCTTAAGCCTGTAAGTTAAGATAAAAAAATCTTTCCCATCATTCCGCGAACCTTTGTACTTCTATCGTATGCCCCGAGTATATGTCTTAAATTGTTTTTATTTGCGTATCTGTATAAAACCGTAATTTTTATACAACTTTTTTAAACCTACACGATATTGATACTTACATTGTCATCAAAAGGTCTAAATTAAATCTCATGAAATATGTACATATGTATTAGAAAAAACATCTACACACAATTTTCTACTAAAATTGTCTTTAGATTTATACATCTAACAGTTAAAATAAAAATATTACAAGTTAACGGTTTGTATCTAATTTTCTTTTAGCTATAGTAAATAGTTAATTACTAGGTAATCAATGTTTTGAAAAAAATACAGTATTTTTGACTAAATGACTTAATTTTATTAAATATTTTAAAATCATAAAGTTTACAAAATTGTAAAATTAAAGTTTTACGTCACAGAGACATGAATAATACGTAAAAAAATAAATGAAAATAACATTAAACTACCTAAATCAGAGCAATAATCATCATAATTAAAAAAAGTCTATTTTCCAGTTTCTTTCTACATTATCATGACTGTTATTTCCGTAATAAACTGGTTAAAGTATATAAAATTGTGTAAAAAATAAATAAATATCTAAGTATACGTTTTACAGATGTTTCAATGTCTATGATTTTTAATTGTGTGAACAATATACTAATTTGGATTTGATTTATTTCGCGAGTGTAAGATACAAGATTCGCGTGTTTAGTTTTGCGTGTCACGCACACAAGTATATAAAACCTGGCCTATTTTTATCAGTGTTTACAAGGTATCTAGAAAGTAAATAATCGAAGGTTATAAGTATTAATACTATAATATTTAGTTGAGTTCTGGAGTTCAAAAACTCCAGTTTATACTTGTTTTTTTTTCTTACAATTTATTAACATTAAAAACATTAGTTATTTGAGCAATTTAAACATTACTTCAATAAAACATTCAACTCATGATTAGTTGAATTGATTGTTTCGAATATAATAGCAAACTACGTTCCTTTATACGCTAAACGCTACGCCCTTAAAAGACGTTAAAGGTTTTATACTATTTTTTGAGTTTCACCACTAGCTAAAAAAATGCTTCTTATCTTGTATTACTTACTTTTAATTGCTTAACATAATATCAATAAATTATGTTTGTATAAGGTAAGTACCAAAATGGTTGTTCTCCTTTGAAACACTTTTAGAAGATTATTATATTTTGCTGGTATACTTCTCGCTCCTATTTCTACCACATATAAATTAACCGGATACCCAAGTTTTGGTTAGTTCGTTGGTTAGATCATAATATTTATTCAATTTCATTGTGTGGTCTTTTAGAATGTTAGTATCCCACGATGCAGCTATTAGTACTATATGTTTGATATGCCTATTAAAGAGGAAGCGAATCATGTTCGAGGACACCCTACTCCTTAAAACGGTTATGTTGACCATAAGTTTCTCGAAACGCACGAAACGTTTGACAAAAGGAACTGCCGTTTTGATATTATTACTAAAATAATCTTAACACGTCAATCTACTGTATACTGACTCATCATAATAAATGTTGAAAATTTAATAACTTTACTGACAAAAAAATATCGCTAATAGAATTCAATATGGTCGACATCCGCCGTTAAAGATACCTTGTACTTTTTTAAAAACTCTGTATAACAATATTACCTTACTCATTTTATACACCACGCACATTATCTGACTAGCTGAAAACACTCATAAAGACGTTCATTCCGCCGTTTCTATTTTATGTGCAATCAAAGTTATGACCCATTTTCCTATTCTATGTCTACGAGTGCCCCAGCACCTGGGAGTTGCGAGTGATGATTGTTGATGATTAAATTAAATGATTTCCCATTTTCACAGAAGACCTTCAGCCATCATCGCAGCATTTCGCCGGCCATCGCAAGCGCTCGCACTATGCGCTGCGACTCAACGACGGTTCCTATCGGAGCTGGCTCCACATTCTCGCGCTTCTGTAGCGTCTACGATACATGAACATCCACCATCGGCTGCTGAAATGTTGGGACAGTGAGTATGAATAAACGGCATTGAGATCAATCATTGCCAATAAGTGCGGGCGCGTGCTCCCGTGGACGCCGCGTAATAACATGGCAAATCATTGACTCTAATGAGTCACCCAACACTGACTGAGACGAGCTTTATAGAATATGAAAATTGGTTAAGACTTTCATTAACACTGATCGTGGTATTTAATAGTAAAATATAAAGATATTTCCGTACATATTGCAAATGAAACAAATGGGGGGAACCCAACACAGTAATAGTTAAAAGAGTATTCTGAATGGTTTTAGTCAAAAATTTCAAATTATAATATTTCTCTTGGGTGATTAGACGATGATTAGAGAAAAGACGACATTACAGTGGAACTTTAAGCCGAGGTAATTGTAATCTGTATTTACATAAGTGAGCCCAAAAGCTTTACACATCTCCATTCCCGACATGAAGCTGACAGATTAGGCGAGAACGACTGTCTGAGACAGCCCGGGTTTTCATTCAGCCTGACCTCATAGTTTCCAACACAGAAATTTATTTCTGTGGTTTCCAACTGATGGCAACAGGTAGCCCTGATAGTGTTAAACACAGGTACCTTTGTCGCAATAGTACTTGATTTTAAGATGATTTACATTTATGTAAATATTAAACCGGAAAAAGTAACTATCAAAAGAATTTTCATTTGAAGTTAAGTTGGTAGTTGTAGTTGACTATAAGTAATACATTCCAATATATCTTCCGGGCGTTTGACACCAAATATTGATATCAAGAACATACACGTCATTGATTCCGCATAATAATTTATGGAGAATGGGCAAATCCGTCTAGATTGCGCTTGACGCATTTATGTATCAAAAATCTTCTCCTGAATTATCATTTCATATGTGTGATTATTATTTAAATATTAAGCGGATTTTTAAAATTATAAATAAATGGCTATTAAACTGAATAAAAATCAACCACAGAATAGACCATATAACAATAGACAAAAGTTGTAGCACCTAGTCGATACTATCGTAGGAAAAAAATCGATTATATTTCTTTATTTAAATATTCTAAACACAAAAAAACGAGTGTGCTTATGACCACACGACTGAAGTAAAACTTCTTTCATATTCTGGCTGTAAGAGAAAGAGAGAAAGAAAATGTGCGCGCGCACTGCTCTCTCTTGCTCCTACACTGTGATACAGACAATAGGCCTGCACTGTGCTTAGATATACGGAATGTATTTGGCTATGAGAGGAAGAGAAAAAGAAAATGTGCACGCGCACTGCTTTCTCTTGCCTAAGTCAAGCGTGCGTAAAGAAGTTTCACTTCAAAAAGAATAAATAAAGCGTTTTATTATAATTAGAGGCATATAACAATTGTAAATGGTCGCAACATTTTTACCAACCACCGTAAATGACTACGAAATAATGATCATTCGTTACTTCGTAGTCAATTTTTATTTTGTGGTCTTCGATACGAGTTGTTTGATTTTTGTATGTATGCATGGATGGATTATTTTTCCCAAATCGCCTATTCAAAGAGCCTGGGTTCAAATTCCGGTGATGCAAATGTTTGTATGATGGATACGAGCATTTTTACCAATATTATATCATGATAAATTACATTAAATTAATAAAGTTATCATGTGTAAGACCTGTGTTGTGACTATCTCACTGAACCAATTTTTGCCCTCTTTCATTGCATCTAAATAACTAAAAGGAACTTAATGGGCTGCGCAAAAGAGGCATTTTTTATCTGCGGACTATTTTGTTCATCAAAATAGATCGCATACAAAAACTTTTGTACTAATCTTTGATTAAAAAAGGGAATATATTTTTGTTTAAATTATTATCAGTTATGTTATATATAATTACTTAATCATATATAAATTAACTCATAGTTTGAACATTTAAAGCATTTGCATTGAATAATAAAACATTTATAAATAGATGTGTAGGATATCGATTCCTATAAAATCGAAACGAAATATACCATAAGCAAGTGAACGTAGCTGTCAACTTCTATTTCCAGTATTAGTTGTGTTTGTTTGTTCCGAGTGAGTTTTCAGTGGTCTATTGTGGCAGAATGGTTCTAATGTTGAGTTGAGTAATCCTCCGTTAATAACTGTTTTTTGGGAAAGAGAGAATTGGACTCGTTGATTTAATGTTAAGTTACCTTTAGTGATTCTGTGACAGAGATATTTGGGCTCTTAGTTTATTGCAATTATTTTTGTTTACAATGGCATCTGGTGTTACACAAGAAAATGCTGGCAGTATGTATGTATAATGTCGATTTGGATAAATGTGTTATCAATAAATAATTAAGTATCATTATTAAAATATTTTGTTTTATTTATTATTAATTCCTAAACCTTAAATAATATTATATACATTGTTGGGTTGACAGGGCATCAAAGGTGAAGCTTGAGCGTAAAGAGAATAAGTATAAATAGCACTCATATAACCGCACCTCAACAACGCCACATTTATTGAATCTGAAAAGATGTTTGGAATAAATAGAGATAGGTAGCAGCTCACCAACGCAACAGTTTACGGATATACGCTGTCCGTTGATAGGATTTTACGAAGTACATTCAATTTTGTTTCACTCCCAGTCCAAAATAGAAGACAAAAGGTCACAACCTAATTAAATACAGTTCAAAGTAGTATACCTAGTAATAATTAAGTATGGTATAAATATCGAATTTAATCGAATCTAAATATGGCATAACCTTAAAATGCTTACGTAATTTAATATTTTCTTTGAACCACCACTTAAGTTTCTAATGATATTTTGCCTACGCAATATACACCTGATTCCCTATTGTTTAACACTTATTCCAATAAGACGCAATGAAAAAAAAATTTAGCCCAACTCCCATAGTAAAATGACCATTCTCCTTGTCCCTTTTATGTTTTCCCTTAGAAAACTAAATTTGCGAGAAACTACTTATATCTGTTTATCTAAATGACAGAAAATTAGGCCAGAATATGTTACAAAAAGAGGATTTATTAAGAAGCAGCCCAAGCATTATGTCAATGATATCGTCAGGCACTTAGCAGTGAATAAGGGAGCAGGGACCCATTTAGAGGTGAATAATATTCAGTTGGGTAACGTCATGCCGTCAGCATTATACAGGCGACAATGCGGAGCTCCGCGTCAACACCATTCAAAAGCACACCCTTTATTTGTTAATAGACAGACAGACCGACAATGCCTCTCTGAGCATTCACTACATATGCCGCCCGATAAACGTAATTAAAATGGGAAAATTATTCCGCTATCATATCGGGAGTGTGCATATAAGTTGTATATTTAAATTCGAAAAGAGAAACAATATCGCCATGAAATTGTATTAAGTTGGTTGAACGTAACAATTTCCTGAGGGCATTTTCAAGCATCGTGAGTCAATTTACGAGAATACTTTTATTTATTCGTGAAATACCAAAATATATTCATAATTTCGGGGCAACATTGTAATTAATACACTTACTTAATATCGTGTTGATTAAATATTTTCGTATCGGCAATCTGGTATCCTAGTTTTTTAAATACCCCAGAAACACGGACCTGAATTTCAGGTCCGTGCCCCAGAAGATAAATTTATTTTTGAAGTTTGAATAGAATCGTAAATCCTGTGAATAGTCGGAAACCTTTCTACCCAGGTCGACTTTTAAAAGCAGCTATAACCATACTGAAATTATAAATGCGAAAATGTGACTGTCTGTTATCTCTTTAAGCTCAAACCGATTTACATGAAATTTGGTGGAGATAGTTTGAGTTCTGGAAAAGGACGTAGGGTAGTTTTTATTCCCGAAATCGTTATATAAGGGGGTGAAAACGAGGGTAGGAGTTTGTATGAAAACCAATTCAACGAATACTAACAAATTATAAGGAATATTCACATTTTCTTCATATAAATGTTTAAAATAAATTATTGATTGGTTTGGAAACTAAAAAAATAAACTTTTCATATTAATAACTAACATTCCTTATATTTTTTTCTCGTTTTTCCTATTCTAGCCGATCCCTGATATTTCTAAGTTAACACTTTGTGCAACTTTTCTCATCGTAGTGAATCATAGGAGTTCATATTTGTGGGGCCATATATAGTTTTCTATCTTTAAAATGGTTCTACTGAATATAACCTAACTGTAATCGCATTTTTTTGAGCTTTACTTCAAAAGAGGAACCGTATACAAATAGCCCAATAAGCTACTCACTACATTTTAGTAACGTGACTGATACTCTAGTATCACAAGCATCTGTAGGATGTGATAGCCATATTAGGAGGACAATATAGCTTACCGTTTAGCCTAAGGCTGAATCTCATAACATCATCAGTGTCTATAAAGTCCCTCGTTCCATTCCCGGTTGAGTCAATATAAATGAGTACTTTGTATTTTATTGGTCCTAGTCTAAATCGTAATGCGGTAAATAATAATAATAAAGGTACCTATCACCCATTAGATTTAAACACGGAAATAAATAGAAAGATCGTTATGTTTTATTTGGCTTTACTATATTATTATAGGTACTCACATAGTATTCATGTTTTTCATAATTTAAGACACTTCAATGTAATTATGTACCATTATTTTTCAGTGAGGCATTGAGTAAGGCGCTTTCTGCTTTGTACGCGAAACTACTAGTGGTGTTAGGATTAGCTTTTCCCGTGACAGAAGTAATTGCAAACGTCCCAGCGGCCTACTACCAGGTAGTCATAATATTTTGGTCTCAATTTACAATGTCGTTAAAATAACCCGTAGAATCTCAATGTTACTCTTTTCATTACAGGGTTTCTATTTGTACCTTTATTTGGTATCAGTACTGTTTGTAATCTTCCAATATGCAAACATAATGAGGCAGAAAGCTTTCAACTCAATTATACATACATACGGTAAGGTTTAATGAAACTAGATTTAAAAACTGGGTGATTAGCAACATTTGCCTAACAAAATGAGACATTAAAATCACATCTTGTTTGCATAATTACGACCACAAAAAGAATATTACCTTCTTTAGTTGCTATTCCACGAACGTTTTAGCCATTTGAAACCGGAAAGCGAACCGGAAGATTCCATTGTAAGATGCTATATACAAACACATATGCTTAATTGCTTATAATAATAATTTTATGATGGGAAAACTAATTATAACTTTGTGTTTTATTTTTACTTTAGAAGATCCAGAAAAGGAAGAAAAAAACGGCAAAGTCACTCCCACTGAAAAAAATAAACCTAAAGAATCCAGTATATCAAGATACGGGAGTTTTTATCTCAGACTTGGCGCAATGGGTATGCATATTCAGTCTACTATATTTATAACTTAAGAAAAAAATATGTTTGACTTTGCAGTACATCTGTTTTTTCAGCTCTCGTTGAAGCTGTTGTTTGCCTGTAATATTAAATAAATAAATAAATATTTCCAACACACACACCAATTAGCCTAGCCCCAAAGTAAGCACTATAAGGCTTGTGTTATGGGATACTAGGGTAACGAATAGAATACATATATTGTACATATGTAAGTATATTTATATAGAAATACATATTAAACATCCATGACTGGAGTACAAATGCACGTATTCATCACTCAAACATCTGCCCACACCGGGATTCGAACCCGGGACCTCTCGAGTCGGCGACACCATGACACCCGGCGTACAAACCACTCGGCCACGGAGGTCGTCAAAAAGATTTTTATTCGTAAAATAAAGTATTTATCTAAGCAGGCGCTTCAAAACAAACAGGATCTCCAATGTCGCTTTCTTTTGTAAAACCAGTCAAAAGTAGTCAAAACATAATCAGACTAATATTATAAAGGCGAAAGTTTATGAGTGTGTTTGTTACTTCTTCAAGTCTAAACGGCTGGAGCGATTTTAATAAAATTTGGTATGGAGTTAGCCGACACCCTGGATTAACACATAGGCTTCGTTTTACTGCGGGAAAATATCCCTAATAAGCCGCGGGTAACACCGCGGGGCACAGCTAGTATAATATATATGTGATATAGTCGTCATAATTCAGTAATTTGTATATATATTTTCAGCATTTGGTATTGGTTCAATGGTGCACAGTGGCCTGGAATTCGGAGAATATTTCGAAATGACTGACCGCTGTCGATCAGTGATGTCCGCCGCTACTCCAGCTTTAAGAATGTCTCTCACATTAATGCAGATGCAATTCATATTTTTGACAAACAAGGATATCGAAACCGGTGCCTACAAATTGATACAGAGATTCGGTTTTATGCACATGATCGCTACAAACTTATGCGAGTGGTTGTACGTCCTTGTAGAAGAAACTAAACATGAGATACATCATTTAGAGCATTCCAGCATAGTCTCCGATGGCACTCATGGCAATATTACAGAGATTCAGCAATGCAGAAGAGCTAATATTATGGGAACGTTGTTGCAAAACGCTTCGCCATTCCTTTTCCCTTGTACTATCGAATACTCACTCATTTGCGCTGTAATACTTTATGAAATGTGGAAAGAGGTGCATGCCAATTTTATAAAACATTTTTATGTTCGTTTGTACGTCTGTATTTTCAAGTGTAGTACACTATACCTACTCATTTCAGATTATACAAATTATTATTCATTTATTATTGAGAAAATGTTATAGTAACTAGGACTTGATGAGTACCTACTTGCTCTGAAAGAAATAACATCTGTAACTGCTTATAAAATTTTCTATAATAAACCTTCAACTTCTTCAATTCACATATTTTATTAACTTGATTATATTTTGCTAAGAATACAACAATGAGGAATACAACGATAACCTTTTACAGGTAAAATGCACTGCAGGGGACTTTGAGAAAAAATTCAACTCTACAAAAAACAAATCTCGGAATAATTCAGTCACTCCCGAGAAAATCCTGCAGCAGTTCGGTAAAATCAACATCCCTTAAAACCAAGATATTTGAATGGTCAAGAAAGAAAAGTATGCTTGAATTTATTATGTTCCTTAAAATGTGGCATATTAAGATAATGCAAGATTTGCTACCCCTATTTTTATGTTCCGTGCAGATATTAAGTTTATCCACGTAATTTGAAAAACTGGATAAGGGCACTAGTTTAAGCCAAACTTGATAAGTGAACTTGGGAACGTTCCGAATTTTGAGTCATGTTCCATGTCCAGTAGTGAGACGAAGAGCTATTGATACGGGTGTAATTTTTAATTTTTAAATCCAACCAATGGCCAATTTTTGTGGTCGCACATTGATGCGTAACATTGAAATACTTACCTACACATTATTGTTGAAATATTAAAGTGAAAGTTTTATATCATTGCCACAATTCTTTTCATTCATCATTAGCATGAAACATTTCATTTTAAACTGTAATTAAAAATTCAGACCTTTTAACAAGCATCGTTAGTTTAATGGTAGAAACCTCGCCTACTGCCCGGGCGGCCCGGATTTGATTCGATTCGTAAGGACTTTTTTATAATAATTTTAAAAGTTGCACTTGCATTTTTGTTTCATAAAACCCCACCAATATTTATTATTGAGTTTGATATGTCCTTTCAATTTAGTTGTCGCCTATAATGTATGATGTGTATTATTTTCAGCTGGAATGCTTGGAGTTGGGACAGCACACGACAGTCGGGCAGCTCTACACCACTTCTCAGTAGATTGCTCCCATGCTCATCGTGGACTTTTTGGCGGAATTCTAGTCATAGTTTTAACTATAATATCGCTCATAATGTTCTTCGTATTGGCCAACGGTCCTAAAACTATCAACGTAAGTAAAAAGAAATAAATAGACTATTGACTTTCATCTGTCCATTTGATGTATCCATATCTATATCGATTCTGTATGATTTTCAGGACGCTATATTTGAAGTGAATGTATGCGAAATAATCCTTTATTCTATAACGGCCCTGGCTTGTATGATCGCCTTAAAACAAATGAGGCTATTGCCATATAAAAGGAAAGCACAAGGTATGAACATTTGAATACTTATCTGAGATCAAAATATTGTAATGGATATGAATTTCTGAATATGACAAAACCTACTGCAATACCGTCCTTTAAAAACAAAACCAAGCATTTTTTTTACTTTTATTGCGCTTTTAAATCTTCAAACTTAACTTATCACTTAAAATTATTATAAATTTAATTAGTAATCATTGAGAAAGCTATACTCATATAACATGTTACCAGATTATGTAAAGGAGGCAGAATCACTCAGTATCTTTAAAAAGATATTAAAGCAACATAATATACCTGATAATTTAGATTAAACAAAGAACTAATACTGACTGCGTCTGCCGTCTACCAACTGGACTACACAAACACTTTTGCCTAATTAATGTTTTCTCATGTTTGACGTAATGGTTTTATATGAGAAACTAAGCTTCTTTAACCTTATAATACATACTTCAATGATCTCCAACGATTTATTCTTAGCTGTCCTCGTCCTGGATACCTCACTTCTGATCCTTGCGCAGACCGGCATGTTCGTGTACTGCATGTTCAGCCTGATTGGCAGCCACCACACGCTGAACAAGGGTAATGGCGGAGGCCTCACCGGTTTCTTTGCTGAGTTCCTGTCTTTGAACCAGGTAAAACTTTATTTTAATCAATTTAAAAACGGAAACATTTTATACTGTAATGAATTATTTTTTGGTCTTTCTCTAGGTTTTCAAACGTATGTACATATTTAATTTTCCTTGTGAACATTTTAAGATTATTTATAATTTCCACGGTGAAATAGTAATCACTAACACAGATACATTACCAGTATTTAATTCCAGACTTTGGTTGGATTACCGCGGCACCGATCAATCGTTATCAAGTCATCAAAATATAATAAAAAATAGTATTAGGAGATAGTTCCAGCGCAGTGGTGGAACCAGAACTCCGGCATTAATGAAACACAGAGTTCCGATTAGTTTAGTTTTTTTTTCAGTGTACTTTTAATAAATGAGCTTTTAAATATTTTTTTTAAATAATGAGCACAAATCAATTACCAAATGAAAAGGGTATCGAGTATCGACCAAGAGTCTGTAAGAACCAACCAAAATCCTCTGTACATTTTACCAAGCCAGTTTGGCTAACACGCATCCTTTATATCTTAATATTTCGTCTTACACTTTTGACGGAATTGTTAAGCATGAAGTGTATGTATATTATAACTTTAACAAAATTAATTCATGGCGTTTCCTTTTCGTGCCTGCAGACGATACTCCAGTCTTTGTTCATAATCGACGCATGGTGGCGGCGCTGCAACACGTCAGAGCACCGCCGCATGAAGCCCGGCCGGCAGCTGGTCACATTCCTGCTGGTGGCTAACATGGCCATGTGGGCGATCAACACTCTGGAAAAAGTAAATACTAAAGAAAATTTTACTATAAGTTCTACTCGGTCCAGGCATAACACAGATCCTAGACCTCTTAATGTATCATTCTGTCTGATACTTGGAACAAGTGGATTTTTTTCTAGTATAATTTTCTTTAGATTTTTTAATCTAGCGATTTATTGCTTAAAATAATAACATGCTAAAAAGTTAACACTGTTTTAGTATGCGATATTGAAGGAGCTCGATGCGAAAAAGACACGTTATGCTGTTGGTCCCGACTGCATCTGCAGTCAATGACAAGGTTTTTTTAATAAAAAAAAACTCATATAAAACCTTATATATTTAACTTAATGCTTTTGTATGGAAGGACAGATGTGGTACATATGTTTTTTATTAATGTACAATTTAGTAGTCGATCTTAAATAACCAGTTTTGTTATATTATGCTGTAATTTAAGGAAATTAAAATTTTGTGATTTAGAAAGTTAACAGCTGGCACATACAAAATTTTTATTTTCTGTCACTCCAACATGGGTATTTGTCAACACAAATTAATGAGTATCGTTTAAAAAATCATGAAAAAAAGTATGTCAGAAGCTCAACCAATGTAAATGCAAACCTAAATGAGTATGTTCAGCTCGGTTTTCGTGGTCACATGTCTATGCTGCAATACCTTGCTACAGTTTTTGTGGTAACCCGTACCCGCATACCAATAAACTGCAAAATCTAATTAATGTTACGTACGCCAAATACAAATTCGGTATACCCAACAAATATTTCAATCCGACATTTGCATAAAATGTATAAGACATAATACAGTCTGGTTTCCGGCTCCCCAATCTAAGTTTGTATGTAAAGTACCTTATATCTTTAGGAGAGTAACTTATACGAAAATACAAATTATTGCTCGTAACTTCCTTAAAGTTTATTTTTGATAAAATAAGTACGATCGAACCAACTGATTCCTGACCCACTTGCCCGATAATTCGCTTAAAAATGTCAAAACAGACAAGTTTTCCTTTGTAGAGAATGTGTAATTGCACTGAGGACCTTCTCATAACAAGAAAACTTTGTTAATATGTATCATAGATATTTAAAATTTGACTTTTACTTTCAATGCAATGGATCATGTTATAGATGAAATTGGAATAGAAGTTTGAATTCGAAATCACTTTTAAATTCTTTAACAGAAATTTTCGATTTCTCGACTTTATAAATAAGTTAATAAACTAATAGGGAAATTCTTAGTCCATGAGCAAATAATCTCCAAATAATCTAAAGTCAAGATTTTTTCGCGGAAAGGCGGTAAAATCTATCACGTCAAATATGACTGTTAAGAAAATAACAAATTTGTTTCCAGGGATACGTACATTTAAGCAAGAATCTACCTTATTGTTTGAAAAATAAGCTTATGGTGGGTCAGGAATCAAATGACTTATCGTACCTATAAAAAAAAACCTGTGGTTTTATGAAACCACGATGCAAATGAAACTTTTAAAGATACCTACTTATACTTAGCTAGTTTATGTTACTCGGGCTTATAAAAAGTAGAAAATTAAAAAGGTCCTTTCTCGGAGAATCGAACCCAGGCTGCCAGCCAGGCAAACTAGCTTTCTACCACTGAACCACCGATTCTTGACGACAAGGCCTAATTTTTCAATAACAGAAAAAATATAATGAGATTTGCTAAAGAGGAACGAAAAAAATTGTAGCCCTGTAATAAAAGCATCACATTAAAAACAAAAAATATCGGGTTAAAAACGTTTGCAGTCTTATTTTCTTACGTAATTATGTGTGTTCCATGAAAAACCGTTGAGCTGTGATTGTGGGTTTTAGCAGTAAACAAACTACACATTTTATAAGGAACTTTAACAAAAGACACCTATATCTATGTTTACCAACTTTTTTTCTATCAAATATAGTATTTTCGAAGCTGTTATCTGTAAAAATATAGTAGATGTCAAAAAAATGGAAAAAATATTGTATGTGGTTAAAATATTTACTTTATTTTTGAAATGAGTATATTATTGCTGCTCTGCACCTTAATAATTCAGTTTTCATTTTAAGACAGCTTTTACTGGGAAATGTCTGCTTTAAGTAAAATTATAGTAGTTTCGCCTACTATATATGTTTTTTTAGAAATATAGTATTCGTTTCCCTGATATAGTAGGATACTTTATTGTATAGTAGGGTTGGCAACTCTACCTATATCCTAAATGCTTGTACGTATATTCCATCCAAACTCCAAATCCTTACATGAATGTTATTCATATATCAGAATATATTAAAATAGAGTACGAACTTAGTGCCTTTGAGCTGTCTTTTTTAAGCTTCAATTAAAAGAGTAAGCACCCTTCGGAATCTTTTTTTTTTTAATTTTTATGGTCACTAGTCACTACCTACGCGCCATGATCACGGAGTAATATCGGGGACTCGCAAAAAACAAAGTACATGATAGCAATCTCGCTAATAACAAATATTATTGTAATACCCTTCACAACGTGAAAGACGTACAAAACTTTACGTCACATATTTCCCGGCCATGCAATAGTTATTTACGCAACTGTCGTTTAATGTGACGAGGCGAAGCAAAGTGTGATAATAATAGTATCACATATATATAGGTGCCATACCATATATATAGAGTATTGCATACGAGACTTTATCTACACCCATGACATGAATCCTCTATAAAAGATTCTGAAACCATGGGGCGATCTAAGAACTTAAAATTCATCAAAAGTTTCGGCGCTGTGGTAATGAAACGCGCGCGAATGACAATGTTCTTTTTAGGGTTCCGCACCCAAAGGGTAAAATTGAAACCTAATTGCTGCCACTCTGTCGTCTGTCTGTCTGTCTGTTCGTATGTCACGCGTCTCAAGATCGTAAACGGAATGTAGATTGCTTGCCCAAAGCTGAATGTTTAGTTAAAAATTAAATTAAATTATTTTTATGGGCGATTCCATACATGAAAAGGAGTCAAAAATATTAATTTCTTTTTTATCACAGCTTGTGACACATCTTTGTCTAGAGCTCGATGAGTAGGCTATAAAAATATTTTTTATTATTTCCAATAACGAAGAAATGGGTGGTCAAGGTTGTAATTTTAGACCATTTTTGTTACGGGGCCTATCTCAAAATTGTACCTATTTAGAAATGGGAAATTTTGTTATATGATGTATGATGATGTATGTATATACTGTATTTAAACAATAAATACTGAAAACGCCGATAAATTATGTACTTTTTAAATTGTGAAGAATACAAACAAATGATTTTTCCTTTCGCGGTTTGAAGTACGGAATCCTACGTGCGTCAGTCCACCTCACACCTGGCCGTTTTTTTTAATACATAATACACGCATCGAGCAGTGACAAATTGTGACTGTCTGATGAGTAAGTCCTTAGCGCGGAAGGTAATTAAAAAGCGAAAGAGGGTTTTTATGAAATTTAGTACAACATTATTACACCCGTTTGATTGATATTTCCCTTAAACATTAAAACAACATTAGCAACAACAGGGCAACATTAAAACTGTTCCTTACCATAGAGTGGTTCTTAAGCGGTGGTCCCTGGAAGCAGCAAAGTAGTCCGCGAAACCCACCGAAAAAATATTACATAAGTAAGAATGCTTTTCAAATTCTGGGGGTGTTATCGTATGTAGTGGCAAGACACAAAATTTGGCAAATGGTCCCTCGTCACTAACCCCCTTATTAATAAACAAGGAATAAGCTTTGACTAGTTACGCCATGTTTTGTTCGTGTCACTCAAATGCCATTTGTCATTCAATATACAAAGACAAAACATAAAGTAACTTATCCAAGCGTAGTCTTCGTTTATTAATAAGGGGGTATAAGTTTTAGAACCGCCGCTAGCACCTCGTTGATTTTTCTCACACTGGTGATCCCTGGATGCAGCGAAGTGATCCGCGAAGTCAATCGAAATTATATTTCATAAGTAAGAACGTTAATTGATATACAAATTCTGGGGGTGGAATCGTATCGTCATGATCCGTGGCAAGACAGATATTTAGACAAATTTTCCCTCGTCACTAAAAGTTTAAGATCCACCGCTAGCAGCTCGTTGATTTCTCTCATTCTCTATTTTCTAGAACCGTGCGGAATTTAGACCTGCGCACCTGGACTTCTACGGGCCGTGGGCGTGGACCATCATCACGCACGTGTCCATGCCACTGGCCATCTTCTACCGCTTCCATTCGACTATCTGCCTATTTGAGATCTGGAAGAACAGCTTCAAAAACAAACCAATATACCTTAACGTTTAACCATATGAACATGAATAAACAATGAGATTATTTGAATTCCTAAGAAACCAAGCTTTGTTTTATTTTCGCCACAATATTTATCGTAAAGAAATCATAATCTGTACAAAAGAATATTTGGTTTTGGGTTCGTCTTATTACCACTGTTATAACATTGTGGGTTACCTGCTATTCGAACAGATGGCGCTGCCTTGCACCCTAAGAAATTCTAGAAGCAATTTGACACAGCCATTAAGGCTGCGTAACCATAATTGGTCAGTGCATCGGCCCGGAGCAGCAGAGGGTGCTCAGATCCCGCCTACTACTTGGCCGCGTGGACTTTTTTCTAGTTAAAATTTTCTTTAGATATACACATCTAGCAGTTAAACGCTTAAGAAATAAAAATATATCATGAAAGTTTCTTTTTTCATATCTTCAGTAATATTCTTGGATGTTACTCTTTACTCTATCATCACTCGCTTGTAAGAGGAGAATGATAGATTAAAATGTATTATTTAAATTCAATCGATTGCAGGACATCTTTGCCAAACTATTTTTTTCGACTACCTAAAGACTTCACACGCTGTGTCAGTGACTCGGAGCGAACTGAAATGATGGCGTCACCCACAGATTCTGTGGCGACAACAAAATGCCTAATATCAACTCAGATTTCTACGTTGTGACGTCGCATCTTTTGTAAAACTTTTATGTTACATCTATAACTAAACTATTTAATGTAGGTATATAGTATAGTATGTCCGTTCAGTCAGGAGATTAGAGCGAGGTCGTTGTGCAACTGTTAACACGTCCTTTGTCACGAGCCAATATCCTGCCGACAATGCCACGCTAATTACCACCTACATTAACTAAACAACTAACTATATTATGTAGTTATTTCATTATGTTTGGAATACCTACTTAAGTACGTATCTGCAACGTGTGTTCGTCATCACATATTGTTAAAGTTCTCTCACTGTGAGCAAAAAATTATTAAGCTATAAAACTGTTATAATGTTTTCAGGTTATCCATTCTAAGGCCGCGCCCCGTACTCACATTATCATCGGCGTAACTTCTTGACATTCACAATTGCTTGTAACAAGCCTAGACTGAATAAATGATTTTTGATTAGGACGGCTCCGTAGTTACACACTGCTGCGATAATAATGACGCAATAGAAGTATGACAAATATCGCAATAACGCATCCGATATTATCGAAGTATAAAACACGCCTATGAGGTTGAGGCCTAATTCTTTTGTTTTAATGTAGAGACTTGAGATCCTACCAAAGAGTGGTTTTCCCTCCCTCTTAAGACATTAGTGTTCTCTAAGTACTCTAATTTGAAATATACATTTGGGAACTCATCATAGTATTTAACTAGTAATGGTAGCAGGGTCAAAAAATGTATGAGAAATAATATTTACACCAACTTTTTCTTTGAATATTTTTCCATGGGCTATTATAAAGTTTATTTATAAAAAAATACTGAAATGTAAACATTCAACGTCATTCAATTCAGTCCTGCAGCTTAGTCTAGGTATGCGTGAGATTAGCCTTATCAATGACTATGATACTCGAGATCCAAACCTTTTGTGCTATACCCAAACAGTATGCGGAACGCGTCGGAGTATCAAAAAACCCGATAAAGAGCTAAAGTGTACTATAACTACAGATAAATGACTTAAATTGTCACATTTTGTGAACTGAAATGGAGGACACAATAGAAGATTATTCTGAACAGTAAGTATCTACAAATTTTACAATATTCATGTTTACATTTTCAGTGGTCTCCACTAAATTATCCAATATCAAATTAAATAAGTTCAATTCACGTCACACCATATCCCAAATGTAAAAACGATACCACATAAAAAACAAACAGAGGTTGTGGTTGCATCTAAATTAAATACTTCATCATCATCATTATCACCATCAGCCTAATAATGTCCCCACTGCTAGGGCACTGGCATTCCCTTCTTGATGGAATAGGGAGATTGTGCCATGACCAACCATGCCGGCCCAGGGCGGATTTTTGGATGCTAACGACTAGAGATGCAACAGGGACCAATGGCTTAACGAGCCTTCGGAAGCACGGAGGAGCTCGAGATGTAAAGGAGATTGCTCAGATTGGCCTAAATGTCAAAAAATATTGACATACACGGTAATTCTTGGCGTAATTTATAATTTAATTTACTGTCATTAGATTTCAACGGACACCTTTGTATAATATATTTACTTTAAAAAGAACTTTTAATTTTACCGGTTTGGAAAACATACGAATCATTTTTAATGGCTACACCCCAATGGGTGTAGGCTATCCGTAACATTCAGCCAAAGACTGATCGAAGTTGTTTATATAACATAAAAACAAATCTATTTTGTAAAGATGGATAAAATAAATCGTTTTTTTATTACACTGTGGTATTAATATGCACAACTATATTATCATTTTCACTAGATGCAAATGTGCTGAGACAATTATTATAGATGGTAGGCGACATCATAAAGTCTATTGCCATACATTTTTCGCCAAACACCTCCATAAACACATTATAATCTGTATATATGTTAGACTTTAAGGTATCTATCTATGGGCCTACGTTGCCTGACTATAAATTAATAAATAAATAAAATTATAAGGTGTGATACACTAAAAATCTAAAATATGGTTATCTTAAAAACATAACAAAAATAATGAAGCTACTGAATATATGGCTATAGAACCTAAATCCCTTAGCTTTCTTTGGTTAACGAGAATTTAAAAATTCTCTCTAATCTGTGGCTCATTCACAATCATCACACAGTTTCTGTCACAGAGTGCCTTATTATAACCGGAAATGACACCCGATTTTAAAAGTTACTCTTATGCATTAACTTTAAAAACAGGCAACTATCTGTAAATCTACATGCTCTATATACCTGAATCTAATCCATAATTTCGGTACTTGGCTTAATTTCCCTAGTTTACTATATAACTTATTTGTTTTTTATTATTTTAATATGTTCAGTGTATATGGTTTATAGAAGTTCTCGGGGGTGTCCGTCAATAATATTCTTTCTACAGTAATTTATATATAATTTCGAATCTAGGAAACAATTTTTCATGATTATTGGTCTTTAGGCCAAACATGTATGGAAGCTGAGCAATCTCCTTTATGTAATGACTGACCACTGCGAAACTTGATTAACTTCAACGATCGCAGCCGAACGCGCTAACCACTTGCGCCATCGAGCTCGAAGTTAAATAATTTCTTACTTAATTTTTCCGAAAATAATGGTATAAAGTTGCCACTTTTTGACACACTTGACCTTTACCGTCTAAGCAGAAACTAAGACGAGACAGTTACTAAGAGAAGTTTAATGACTTGCCCACATTGTCAAATTCGATTTACAAAGGGAGATAAATCACATAATAGTATTTCTCTTGCCCTAACTATGTGGTTGTAAAGCTGTCAGCTGCTATGTCAGTCACACGGCCTATTATCAAGTATAGTGTTTAGTAAATTACGATCATTCTTTAAACAAGTATTATGGCTCCAGATCCAATGAGGCGAGACCACTGAAAACAAGCCCGCATGAACACTACGAGCATGGGCTACACCACTACCATCCTTCACGACAGACCAGCACCAGCTTGGAACGGAAAATTCGACACAGTCGGTACGTCTCATAAATAAGTCACTTTACCACTATCTTTATACACAATACTCATTCACATACAGTGTTATATAAGGAAAGGCTCCTATTTAATTAATAAGCAATGCGATGCAATAAATAAATTGCATCCAGTACTGCCGGTACTATTCACCAAAATTAAATGGCCGAATTTCATTACAAAGAAAAATCTATGTTAGCAGCATTACTATGCAAAATACTGTAGTTATTGTTTTTATTCTGTTTCTCAACAATTTTTTTCGTTATTTCGACAACATTCTTCGACAAAAATTAAAAAAATCTCGACTGGCACTACGAGATCCCAAGAGACGTCTCCCTTCACCCATCTGTTTACCAGACGAAAAGTATGTTTTTAAAGAAAACAAATCCCAATGTAAAGCATATAAAAATTGTTCATGACTAAATTTAATTAATTAAACTATATGTACGAGCCCTTGTCAGCTCAGTACATTGAATTGCTATTTCTTGATAGCGAAGACAGGAAAACACTTGATTTATTTGACGAAAATATTTATTATTAAACTTGAAAGTAACTGTGTACACACTGCTTGAGACAAATGCGAACTAACTTGGGCGTGATTATGAAATATATTTAAACGGTAATTACTTGTGGTTAAAAATGCTTTGCTAGCAAAATGTACGATTTGATCGTACACTATAAGTAATTAAAATTAGTGTTCATGTTTCACATGAGTCCATCAGGAAAAAGTGGAAGGAGACGCTGTACATATTTTTTTTTCTCATCCTCAGAATTGTATAAAGATCCAATATACACCGTGAATTTTTAATAACCAGAGAAACTCAAAAATCCTTTAAATAAAAAAGAAAGAACATTGAACTTGTACGAGCTGTACATACCTACTTAATTAACATTATGATAATTTCGAATTGACCCAGATTATTTTTAGGCATACTCATCAATTGTATTTTCTTTTGCACGGAATTATGGAATCATTACGGAAATAAATTAGTGTTTTTACAACATTCAAACGGTTCGGTTTTATTTAGCACTCCTTGGAGTAACCTTACCCTTAGCAAGCATCAAGTGTGGGAAGCAACCCCCACATTTTTGGTCCTTCGAGCAATCGTTGCGGGATCAAGTCTCGGTTTCGTGTCTTTGAACAGTTTATGAGTCGAAGTGCGGTACCATAAAAATTCGTTACGTGGACAAAGTTGTACAAGTGATTAACTTCGTCGCGTTTCACCTCGCAACGTACTGAACAGTAACCAATCAAGCATCAGCAATATTTGAGCAATCTACATCGTCTTCGTCAGTCTCGCTCAATCCCAACTAGGATCACACTGAGCAGTAAGATTGACAGTAGTTCCTGAGGAGAGCAGTTAGCAGCATCTAAGTAGATCAACGGCATTTTAAGTAAGATTGTTCCTTTTATTTAAAT